AAAAGGGTCAATCGAACTGGTGACAAATCTGATAAGTGTGAAATGTTTTGATTCCCCGCCACCCCCCCCACCCCCCCCACCCACCTCAATCCATACCACGTTACTACCTTCAAACACAGATTAGATAGTTTTCTTTTTGGGAAATAACACGATGGGATGTATGTGCATGCAACCCCCTGGAACGTGGAAGGCGAACGAGATGGCCTATTTTCGTCCAGCCATTCTTATGGTCTGGCAAAGCTTTGCATCTTTTCCACTGGAAATTTTCCTTTTTTCCCCCCATAATCCTAATTTCAGAGACCAGGAGAAATTCAAATTGGAATCCAATAACAAGAGCTGGCTGTTAGGTGAGGATATCCTATTACATTTAAATGACTTCCCTTCCCGAGATGGAGCAAAGTATCTAACAGCTGAGCTAATACTCATCCAACTGCATGTAATTTTATATGCCAATCAAAATTAGCGTTCAAACTGGGTTGGGAATTTGACTCAACATACTAAGTTTCCTCCTGTATTACATTTAAACTAGATTCCTCACGGTACCGTTAAGACAACAATAAATTAAAAGTGCTATTTTTGGTCAGCCAGGTATCTGACACACGTAGAAACCAGTCTCCCTGCTTTGGGTGATGGCATCGTTTACATTAACTAGAAAATCAGAATTTAATTTCCCCATCGTAACAGAAGACGCAAAGCCGAAGGATTGCACTTGCAGGTTACTGCCATCTGCATTTTTGAAAAGCTGCTTTAAAAACATACAACTGAACATATTATAAGATATCTAGTTTAATTACCATACATTTGCTGGAGAAGACATACAAGGTTTGGGGGACGGAGGGGGGAGAACCTAATAGAAATGTTTAAAATTAATACAGGGTTCGATAAAGTTAACATAAATAGGCTGTTTCCACTGTTTGGGGAGTCCACAAAAAACATAAGAAAAGCAAGAAGAAAAAAAAACACCAAGGCCCATCTAATTTGCCTTCCACCTTCCTGGCAGTTGCATCCACACACCTCCCGAACTCCTGATGTACTTTATATTCCATCCTGCTATTTCCTAAAAGAAAACCATCTAATCTGTGTTTGAAGGAATTAACATTTCCTGCTTCAACCGTCTGTCTCCCCAGGGAGCCTGTTCCCCGGGTGTACTATTCGCTCACTGAAACAGTAGTTTCCGTAGATCCGTTCTGAATTTACCCCCTTCAATCGAGTCCGCAACCAGGGCACAGAAATATAGGGATCCAAAAGAGAATTCTTGTTCTGTTGGTTAACAATGTAAACACGGACAGGGCTGCACAGTGTAGAAAGTGATGCCCCAACCGTTTCCTTTAGATTACTGTCACGTTAATTGTGATGTATTTTCTCTCCAACTCTTTGGAACTCCATCCCACATTCCCTTCGCCTCGCTCCCTCCCTCCGTCTCAAAACCCTCCTCTTCGACCGAGCTTATGGCCACCCTCCTACCCCCACCCTCTCCGATCCCAACCCCCAGCTCGGGTCCAAATACCTGACTGTCCAGCGGTGCCTTGGACGTCCTCCTGATGTGAAAGGCTCAATACAAACGTAATTTTGTATTGTAACCATTTTTTTTTAAAGAACAGCAGAAAAGAAAACCATTAGTGGAGTCCTGTAGCTCAGTGGTTAGAGCACTCGCTTTGCAAGCGAGAGACCTGAGTTCAATTCCAGGCAGAGGGCGAAACCTTGGGCAAGTTTCCTCACTCCACACAGAGCCTAATAATAATCCTCCAAAACCCAAAACAATAATAAATTGGTCATTTTCAATCCACGACTGTTTGTGGGACATTGCTGTGCGCAATTGGCTGCCGCGTTCGCCCACAAATATACAGTCAATTCACTTTACAGTGTGTTCTGTGAAGCGCTTTGGGACGTCCTCCCGACGTGAAAAGCGCTATATCAAATGCAAGGATTATTATTATTATATTATATATTAGTTCAATGATCCAGTCCATCCCAGTGCTCTTGATTGTACAACTAAGCCATGAACACAAACACATCCCAAAGGCTTTTGTTACATGTGTGATTGGAACTTGTTCCTGAATAATTGATTTCAGACTGGTTCATAAATGGAATTTTCTGTAGGACTAACCAAGTTAGGAAAAAAAATGAAAGTATATTTTTGGGCAAGAAATTAAATCCTGATTTTTTCCCCCCAAACACGAGCCATACTATTTTCATTACTGATTATCAAAATAAATCATTGTCAATGTCAGAAGCAAAATGCAACATCTGGATTGCAATTGATTCCACCTTTAGTTTTCATTCTTTGATTTGTGCAGACTCTTCATAAAAATTATAGTGTCGACCTGTTTTATGCTTTGAAAATTGTACTTTTTCCTTTAAACGTTTGGTTTCATTCATTGATGCAATCTGGACAGATATTCCCAAAAATAATAATAAAAAGAGCCACCCAAACATTGATACGATTACATGGAAAATGCAAGTGGCCCATGAACAATTTTCCATTTGGTCACTGCATTTAAAAAATATACCAATTAGTCTGGCCCTAATGCTGTACACTGAAAGCCAATTGAAAGAATCCTCATGAGATACAACAGTATTGAATGGGCATCAACCATTTGATTTATTTTACCATCTATAACAATTACATTTCTATTACATTTATAGAGCGCCTTTCACGTTGGGAGGACGTCCCAAAGCGCTGGACAGTCAGGGGTCAAGACCCGAGCGTGGGGGGAGAGGGGGTAACTATAAAGACTCAAAAGGTATTCCGCTTTCTAAAAGGGAATGAATAGATCTCAATTCAGACTGTAATTCTTTGCAAGGAAAGAACTGCAAAGCATTGTTAAGCGTGCATGACAAGAACTACATCAGCAGGCATGTTGGGCTTAAGGTTTGAGTGATGACATCTTAAGAGGTAGCTCCAAACACGTGAAAAGGTCTCAGATTGGATTTCTGGTCTGTGCACAATAAGCTAACCTCAACCAAGGTCTGAGAGCTCTTGGGTTAGGCAGGGGATTGGGGCTAAACAGATATACTATAGTTCCCACACTCGATTACTTTCCAGTGATTCCTACGGAAACCTATATCATCATGAACACGAGGTGAGAACAGGATTGGGTCTGACTGACACTCGCTGTCTGAACTCACTTGAAGAATGAATGCCACAGGAGGAAAGTATTAAAGGACTTTCAGCACCGACGCAACCCAAACCCAACACATGTTAGTACTTCCTGGAGCCAGCCTGCAAGTCTCAAAGGTTTTGCTTATTCAAAATAACGGAACAGCAAAACAATCTTTATCCTGTGTTTCTGATACCATGACTCCCTCAGTCACCTCTGGTACGTGCGATAAATGTTTAAGAATACACGCATTCTGCAGGCGGGAGGAATCTTCAGCATTGACACAGTTTTCCGGGGAATGGCCAAGCAACAACAACCACTTGTATTTACACAGAGCCCTTCACGCAGGGTAAGATCCAGGAGAGCTCGACAGTGGCGGAGTCTGACAACAAGCCAGGGGGAGAGGGAGGGGTGGGGGGGGGGAGGTGACCGTAACCACGATCAAAAAGGAAGGTCTTCAGACGGGATTTGAAGGTGGGGAGGGAAGGGGGCAAGGTGGTGGGATTGGGGGAGAGAGTTCCAGAGTTTCGGGGCGTAGTGGCTGAAGGAATGCCCTCTGACGGTGGAGCGAAGGGGACCTCAGTATCAACACGACGTTGTGTTTCCCAACAAGTTAAAAGCAAGCACATTTGTGGGAATGCTGAAGGTACTTAAAGGCCAGGCATGATTTTACTGCAGCCACGATGTTTAAACATGGTTCTAATCTTCATCACAGTAGATTGTTGACTTTTGCCCAAGCCAAAATTGATAAAAAACAAATTATCAATATTTCTGAAAAAAATTACTTTTCGGTTCAAAAGCCATCCCAGAATCTTGAGTAAATTGCCTAATAAGTTACCCTATTAAGAAGCAGACAGAGTAGGGAGTTTACATAACAACACTAAGTGCCCGTCTACTATGTTAATGTTCTTGTTAATTGCAATGCTGTGGATTTGCTAAACTCAGGTTAAAATAAATAATAATTAGTTTGAGAAATTGAACTTGCAGCCGATCCCTGCAATTGTTCTTTAAACAGTTGCACTAAAAATGCCCCCAAAACAGGACATAAAATAATCAGACTTTTAGGGGAGAAAACGTGTATTCCACAAACATTTTACGTTCAAGCAGTTACAGATGGAATAAATATGAATTCAAAATATCCTTATTGAGATGTTTAGAATATAAAATGTCTAAGGTTGTCTGCAGCCTCAGGGCCCAGTTAGGGTCTACATCAATGTAAGATATTGAGACCATGAATAGGCTCTACCGAAAACTTAATAATAGAACCAAAATAATGTTAGAACTTACTCTGTCTAACATTAAGTAATTACTTTCCTCAGTGTATTAATGCTGGTAAAATGCTATAAGTATAAACAGCAGCACTCTCTTCGAACTTACATCAAAGTAAGTTATTCACTAAAAAGTAAATTGCCCAAGACGCAATGGATTAAAAACAAATTATGCACATGCCTGAAAAAAAAATTACTTTTCATTACGAAAGCCATCATGAAAAAAAATCTTGAGTAAATTTCCCTGTAGGTACTATGTATTACTATGTATTAACACACAGGGTTTCCCCAACATGAGCAATTTTTCATACTACGAATCTGACGCAAAATTCGACAACAAGCATCTCGGTTGACAGCGAATAATGTAATAATTTTACCTTTTCTTCCCCCCCAAAAAATTTTTTTTAGACTATCCATTACAATGAGTACCAATACATTTTGCAGGTAATTCAGCTAAAGATTAATTAACGTATACAATATTAATTGACATCACTAGTAAATGCTACTTTAATGCCACATCACGGCAGGTTTAATAGCACATATAACAACTTGTACAATTCTGTACAATAAATATTTATTATTATTCAACAGAAATTTTATTTCGAGAAACAGTAAAACAAAATGTGCTCACCTGGTGGACACAGACATCCAGATGGAACTTCTCTGACTGTCCTGAGTTTTGCGAACCCATCATTTAATCTCTACAGAAAAAAAAACATGACAATGTGTTTAAATACAAAACTGTATGTGGATTAAAAAAATACAGGAAGAAAGTGATGCTGTTTCACAAGGACAAAGCATGGAATAAGAAAACATCTTTTAGCTTCTGCAGATCAACCTACACACCAGTTTAAAGACAAATCTTGAACCAAAACAACTACTATTTCAACTTGTTTTTTGCAGTAGAGCAGGTATAACTGCTGTTGTTATAATAATGTCACAAAGTCAGTTTGTTGTTAAACTGACTGATCCACTGGATTGATAAGAACCTTTTAAGATGGCCCACAAAACAATTCCAGGGTACAAGACGGTCACTGTCTGGGTTTCCGCTCTGCTACAAGTTAATATATTTACTAACATTCAGTTTAAAAAAAAAGACCCAGTATTGTTTTTATGTGCTGCCTCAAAAGACTTGAGCTAATAATCATTGGGTTCGAAAAAAAAACCTGAAGATACAACGACTGGCATGTGAACAGGATCACAAGGCAGTAATTGTGTCCTGGACTGGTAGGTTTCATGGTTACCATTACCAATTCACAAAAATAATCAGTGTATTAAACACGCCATCCATCTTACAAAAATAGATGTTCACATGCATACCTGCCAGCACTGATAATAGCACAGCTGAACTCAAAGATAATCACTTCCAATCTTCCACGAGTTCAACCAAGATCCTCCGTTGTGCAGTACGGCCCATACAGCAATGTATAACATTGGCACAAAATCAATTTGTTATTAAGATGACTGAACCACTGAATTTATACAGAACTACTGCATTCTGACTGCTGACAAACAAGGCCATAAATGCAGCCATTTTCCAGGTCATAGGCTAACATTTGTCCTTAATCTGTGGAGTGCTATGGATCAGTTCATTCTGGCAGGGTTCAACAGGCCAGTGATGAGCAGGATTAGCAGCTGATTTTGATTTCAGGTTCTGTTGCACTCGGCTTCCAGAGGCTACAAGTTGTCTGGGTAGAAAGTCGAAAGAAAAAAGTAGTCTCTCGTGAAAGATAAAATTCAACAATGTTGTTAATCAATGATTTCACCATTAAACTTTTAGAGTTCTTCGACTTTGAAAGCATTGGCTATGAATCCAGCTATTTTATAGGTCATAAATCATAATAATAATAATCCTTGCGTTTGATGTAGCGCCTTATCACATCATTGAGACGTCTCAAAACTCTTCACAGGATACACTGTAAAGTGAATTGACTGTATATTTTAGTTAACAATAAGAAATGATCTTAGACACTTCTGTATAATGTATCTTTACGGAAACCTGGAATTTCGCATCTCTGCTTCATGTGGTTCCCCTTCGCTGATCCTGATCCCCAGCTCGGGTCCGAAACATTGATTATCCAGCACCTTGGGATGTCCTCCCGACGTGGAAGGCGCTGTACACATGTCATTTTGTTGCTCTTCATTTGATTTTAATGTGAAGCGGCACTTTGATCCGGTCTGAGGAGTGACAAGAAGCCAACTGAGCCAGGAAAAATCACTACCAGCTGGGCTCTCAGCTCTCAGATCCCCTGACCTGACTGCCTCCTGATTTTCCTCCAGGCCGGTGCAAAGCGACAGCTCCTATTAAAATCAATCAAATGGCTCTGGGTGCATAATAAGGGCCACTCCATGACTTATGTCATCAGGGCAGTTCAGGAGGAGAAAAGGAAAAGAGGAGGCTTGTGCAAAAATAGAATGATACAGAAAGTGACGCTCAGTCTTCCCTTCTCTGTTTCTCGAGCACCATTATTGTGGAATAACGGAGAGATATTGGAACAGAGATCCAATCCTCCCAATCCAAAAGTTCCCAATCCATGTTTTCATGCAATGGAAATAATAATAATCCTTGCATTTGATGTAGCGCCCCATCACGTCTTCGAGACGTCTCAAAGCGCTCCACAGGATACACTGTAAAGGGAATTGACTGTGTATTTTGTGGGCGAAAACACGGCAGCCAATTGCGCACAGCAGCGTCTGTCCCACAAACAGCCGTGGTTTGAAGTGACCAAATTGTTATCATTTTATTTATTTATTTTTTGAAGGGAGTCGAATCCAGGTCCTCTCGCTTGCTCTAACCACTGAGCTACAGGACCCCACAACGATCAACGTTATTGCAAAACCTACAAGACACTGAACAGTGATCTGATGCTTCCAACAACATATTTGATGGAGGAAGGGAGGTGGTTGGGGAGGAAAGCTGAGTGATATTTATTGTGCTGTTCTTAAACATTTCCTGGCTGTGGCTGAGTCATATTAGTATTGGCCCTGAAATAAACTGCCTGATCTGCCCTTTAAGGTGCAAAGGTACGTAGCCAGGGAGAGGACTTATTCTGGTAAAGGGAGAAAATTGGGTTTGGGAGAGGGGAAAACAAATGCGAGCGTAAGAGAGGGAGAATCATACAACCTGAATTTACAAGGGGCTTGTGCGAAAAATAAAATTGTTACTTTTCTGAATCACTCGATCGTCACAAGTCCCAAAGAGATCTATTTCTGTCCGATACGTTACAAAAACAAAAGCAGCCATTTTAGCATCTCTAAATTTAGAGAACACCAGAAAGTTTCTTTGAGATTTAGCAGTTAATCTACTAAAAACAAATATTTAAATCACTCAATCCTTTCTTCCAATCCACAAAGAGACACCAGAGAGTGTCAAAGTCACCTCTGCAAGACATCGAGGCCTCTCCATCTCCAATTTATATACAGCATTCTGAGAATGGAGACTTTAAGGAACTTGATTGACTTTGTTGTTTGAAGTGACTGTTCTCTGGAGGGCAGAATTTTGATTGAGGGTATGAGGATCACCTTCCTTTTCTGGTGAGAGTCTGAGCTGAACAACTCAAAAAAGTTGTTTTATGTCACTCACTCTAGCCCAGGTAATAATTCACTTTGAGCTGTCAGAGAGGATGGATAATAATAATAGTCCTGGCATTTGATACGGCGCCTTATCACGTCTTTGAGACGTCTCAAAGCGCTTCACAGGATGCACTGTAAAGTGAGTTGGCCGTGTATTTTGTGGGTGTATTTTTTTGGATTCCAAAATGTCGAGTCGAGATAATGCCAGACGACAGTGACAATTTCAGTAGAAAATCACATTCATTTCTTCTCTCAGTTAGTGGATACGAGCAGAATAAGATATCCTGCACAACCCGACCTTCGGAGAATGATCTCAGAGAAGAATAATTTACACCTAATGGTTGTGTTACACAATTGACAACCTCCTTTTTTTCATTCTTATCAGAACAGCTGGCTGGTCATTTCCTGTACTCAGTCAAAGCCATTTTGTTTTGATGCCAACAAGAGATATTTTCAATAGGAAAAAGGTCCACTTCAACATGTAAATGTTCAGTTGATGTTATATTTGTGTTTTGGGAAATACATCAATTGGCTGCCGCATTTTGCCCACAAAATATATACAGTCAATTCACTTTGCGGTGTATTCCGTGAAGTGCTTTGAGACATCTCCAAGACACTATATCAAATGCAAGGGATATTATTACTATTACAGCAGAAGACAAAAGAATATCTGCAGCAATCCAGTGACCAGCTCGACGTTATTCTCTGACGACAAAAGCAGCTGTAAAGGGAGAAGACTCTTAATGCTTCAATTTATGTCGGAATCTTGAATCTCATACTTATCCATGTTTCAGACTTCTGGAATGGAATTCATAACCGTTGTTCAATCTCATTAGTTAAAGACAGATCAACTTTTACCACAGTTCCCATGCAATTCTGTGTATTGTATTAATTGAATAACTGCCTCTAATGAGTATATTGGTTTCACGTGTCATTGAAATCACACTGTAGGGTTTTAAATATACGTATTGTTCAAAAACATGTTTACGCTTTCCTTTTTTTCAAACTAATACAGGAACCAAATGTAACCTCACGGTTTCTATGGAACATATTTTTCACTCAGTATAGTCAAATTTTCCCAACATATTTTGGAAAAATTGGTTTTCTTGACGAATATACAGTAACTAGAAATCAAATGGCCTATTCAACAAAGGTATTTACGTATTAGTTGATACATGGACCCATCTTGTTATTATACACAGACGTCTTTGTAAAATTGTTTCTATCTTCAGATAACATTTACACAATACATTGTGTGTTATAGAGAATTCAATTTGAACAGTAAACGACAACGGAGAACTAAAGTACTGTTCCCAGAATTTATGAAACTGCATGAAATATTTATGGTCAGCAACTATATGTTTTAAAAAAAATGAAACTAATCACATGCTAATGGTATAAACTGGGCAGAAATAAATACAGAAATATCCATTGGGACAACTGACCAATATCAAGAAGGCAAAGACAGCACATAGGACATGCAAGGATTATTATTATTTTATTATATTATTATTATTTTAATTATTATTATATATTATAATTATTATTATATATTATAATTATTATTATATATTATAATTATTATTATATATTAGTCTGACCATTATCATTACACAGCTCAGTGATCCATACTGTGAGCGATTTGCTCTGTTACTCCACAGAATTGAAAACACAGGAAAGTCCATTTACCTCCTGGAGGACATGGTCCAACCTTCTCTGCAGCACAGCCAGTAGATCTGGAGTGTCTGGCGTCCCTTGGACAAAAACTCTGCCTCTCTGACTCTCCAGCAGTCTGACTCTGTCCTGCAAACCCGAAGTCTTAAAATTGAGCAGCAAACAAAAGGCCATCGAGGTGAGTGAGAACATGAAGCAGATGACTGTTGGGAGGGTCCCCAGGTACTGGAGGAGGTTGGATTTCTTGGGTACCACTTTGCTCATCTCGTCTGTGCTTCTCCCAAACTTCTGGGACTTGGTGGGACTCTGATCCATTTGGTTAACAGCAGTGGCTTGAGTGTGTGAGTGACTGTGTCTGTGTGAGTGAGTGTCAAAAAAACAACACAACCATCCAAATAAATCCTCCTCACTGCCAAGCAATCACAAGACAAAAAAAAAATAATCAGAAAATAAGGCAAACTTCGGGAGAGAGAGAGAGAGAAAAAGAAAACTTTTTTGCTGACACTTCTCATCAGTGTAAAGTCAGTGAGCTGTCCTGCCCTGTCTTCTCCCTTCTGGAGTCAGTTAAATCTCACTGATTGCCTTATTGTGGTCTCAGCTGTTTGATGTTAATATTCAGACCAGTCGTTGACTCCAACCAAAGTCCAGTTCAGTCCCTTCCCTCCACCTTTCACTTGGAAAGACTCACTGTGCACTGGTTTGAAACTGGAACTTCCCAAGAAAGAGGTGGGAGCAGTGACTCGCCCAGGAGCAGGGAAAACTCAGAATAAAAACTGGGATTGGGTTTGCTCACCTCTTAGCCAAGTCTGGGACAGGCTATGCAAATAACAATAGCCTTACATGGTACTATTACACGCCTACTACACACAGAGTAACAGGCTCCCACAGGAGAGAGAGGAAAGACTGGTCAAAGACTGCCAACCAACATCTGTGTGTGTGTGTAATAAATATCTATCTCTACATATATATATATATATATATGTATGTGTGTGTGCCAAACAATTTCAACACAGTGGGGATATGTGGGTGGATTCACCACAAAGCCTTGTGAACTGCCATCAACTCTCTTTTTTTTAGGTCAGCGAAGCAAACTTCTGAGAGAGAGAATGAGACAAAACAGGGGGAAGGTGGGGGTGGAAAACACAAACCCACACAAAGCTCAAACAACTTCTGCTTCTGCGAATGGAACTACTTTGGGAGTCCTGCGGCGTGGCAGTTCGAGCCCTTCGCCTGGCCTGGTCTGGCCTGGCCTGGCCAGCGAGAGGACCTGGGGTCTCATTCCGTACCATCCAGCAGCCGGAAAGATCACCATTCCCGACCTCGCGAAAACGCCGTCAAGGCGTTTTAAGAGGCCGCGAGGTTTGCGGCTCTCACGGTTGCCATCGGTTATAATAAGTTGGAACCCGAGCTCAGACTTTCAAAACGCGTTCGAACGCTGTGCGTTGCTCGGGCGAGAGTCATAAGAAGACTCGCATTTGATAGGCACCGAGTTGGCAATCAGAGAGCGCCCTTTGCGCGGGGATCAGTATCCGGGAAGCACTCGAAGTTTCTTTCCCACGTGATCGGGTCTCAAAGCGCTTCACAGCAGAGACTGTGACGTGAACGGGCACGCGATAAATTCGAATGGCATGAAATTCATGGAATTGAATGAAATAAACGGCGAGTTGAATATTTCCGGGGGGCTAGGGGTGGGGTGGGGGGGACGGGGGGTTACCTCTGCTGCTAGGCCGCCCTCCAGTGGCGATTTGGGGGCTAACGGTCACCTCTCGCGTCGTCTGCCACATGGCCAAAGTTAGCCCCCCTCGTGCCCTGGCCAGCCCAGCCCTCACCCCCCACCCACACACAACTGCTGCACAGGTCAAGCTGCGGTTGACACTCTGGCTCAGCGCCCGTCTGCTCAGTGCAGGCAATATCAAGTCAAATATTTGGCTTCTTTAACTTGGACCTTTAAAACCTACCTGTGATGTTTAGCAGCTTCGTTCTCCCGCAAGGGGCGTGAACCTCACAAGATACGATCCACAAATACCGAGATCTGCCGCGTCTCATGCAACTAAGCGCTACAGATAATTAGATACCTGGAGGTAACTACGGCTATAATTTAGTTGAGGTTCAGAAGACCGATCAGCCAGTCTGTAGATTTGGATTGCACATTAGAGGAATAATGAGGGAGGGAGGGAAGAGAAAGAAAGGGGACTATATTCGAGAACACCCTCTAGCAGTCGGGCAAAATATAAATTTAACTTTCAAACGTACATTTTTGGTTTTGTTTACCCTTTCTGGAGACCAATATTTATCTCCATTTCCCTCCAGACCTGACGTGGTAATCACAATCACAGTCCATACACTCAGGGCAACAACTTGGATTTATATAGCGCCCTCCACCCCAGACGGCGCCTCAGAGCGCTTGAAGGGCAACTCTATTCATTGAATTATATAAGCAATTCAGAGTAGCTTGCAAAACCTTACACAACAATAATAATCCTTGCATTTGATATAGCGCTTTTCACGTCTTCTAGACGTCCCAAAGCGCTTACGCACAAGCCAACCCTAACGGTCGTCAATGAAACATCTCAGGAGTGCTGTCAAGATACAAATCATTAGTTTCCATCAAAGGCAAACCACGTCAAAAAACAAAAGGATATTTTCCAAATGTAAGAGGCATCTTACAGTCCTATACTTTCTCCCCAGTTGTCACTCCGGCCCATGTAGTAATAATAATCCTTGCATTTGCTATAGCACCTTATCACATCTTCGAGACGTCTCAAAGCCCTTCGCAGAACATACTGTAAAGTGTAGTGACTAACACCCATAGATAGCTTAACAATGATTGGTTGAGCTGCATTGTGTCAGTAGCGCATACAGAACTATTGCTTTCTTTGTTCTCTTTTATTCATTTCAAATTCAATTGTATTCATTTTAAATGCAAGGATTAGCAGTTAGCTGGAAAGTCTGGCTTCCTGTACCGGATCTTCCACCCCCCCAATCCCACCCCTATTAGCTGGGGGCTTAGTGTACTTAATTGAAAAAGTATCCAGCTATTACAAATCTAATCCCATCTTGCATAAAACGAAGTGGCAGATTCTTGGCTTCGACAGAATTCCTCCAGGATTGAATTCATACTCAAGGCGCTGCTTTGGGATTGAAAATAATTCTTTGCCTACCACTGCCGTACCTAAAAAACAGAATTCTGCAGTAGAACAGAACTAAAGCGACATTTATTGCACAACATTCATGTATATTACAAGTTACGAACGAGGTAGTGTAATACAAATTTCCTCAGTTTATTGGAAAACATTTTTTCCCAGTCAAATGTTGAAAGAACAGCAGTATGTAAAGCAATGACAATTAAGAAAATCTGAAAAATGCTGACACAAGGACACAAAAGAAAAATGGCATCTTTAGTAAACTTGTACCACACAATATACACAAAAGTTACATATACACTTGCAATACTTAAATCTGTTTCACTCAGAGATTTAAAATAATTTTGATATAGACTGACACAGTCTAGTTATTCTCCTATGGAAACCAAAGTAATATACAAGTCACATAGAAGCAAAGTTCATTTCGTAATCCATGATCTCCCTTTCTTCTTTGTGGAAAAGAATGGATGGTGCAATGCCTGGTCTAGAGATATTCTCCTGGAAGGTTCGTACTCCAACATCTTTCCAATAAGGTCAAAGAGTTCCCGATGATCGGAGTCTTGGCAAACCATGTATTCCTAGAAGGAACATTTCAATTATTTTTAGATCATTGAATTTTTTTTCTCTAAAAAGAGAAAATAATATTTTTGACAATTCATACCTTCAAAGGTTTGCAGCGTCTCCTGACGTATCTCCCAGCAGAACTGTTTTCATCCCAATCCAACCGCTCATGGTGAAAATATTTCCGCTTCCTGAAAAACAAAGTTCATGTGTACAGGTCGTTAGCTCTAATAACCCAAAGCTTAAAAATCTACAACACAAATAAGAAAATGGATGTAATTACTGCAATTCAATAGATGAATCTCTGCCCAAAAGGCATTGAGTTAAACGCTCAGTCCGTTAAGTACTTCAAGTACCTCAGTCTGAATCTGAAGCACTAACTCTCAGAAAAGGGCAAGGAAACTTTGAAGGATAAAAATCAAAACTGCTCATCAAAGTCGTTGAATATGACAAAGCGCTTTTCACGTCAGAAGGGCTTCACTGTATTCAGTGACTATTTTTGTAGCAGACAAGTAGTCGCTTCTATTCAAATCAATTCCGCGGTGCAATGGGAAATTAATTTAAATAGAGTACTTTTATTTCCTTCAAATTGATTCATATTTTTAAAGAATGTGGAGAGCCACTTCAAATCTACCATTGCTATTGCAGCAATGCCACGAGCTGGGAGGGAACAAGTGCAGTCTGGCATTCTTCAACTCGTTTTAGTCGAGATAAGACAATTCAGACTGTCCCAAGAACCAAGCAGGGATTTTCTGCACATTTGATTATTAGGAATGCTATTTACTCAGAGAGACTAAATCCCAATCCTAGTAACTTCGTGTTGTGCACCAGCTTTGGGCACACTCATTATTTTGCTGGTTTCTTGTAGACCCTCATCTTCTCCCACGTCAGAGACCAACACGGAACAAAACTTAGTGTAGAATAATTCACATACACTGCAAGAAACCAGCAATAAACGAGAACATTTTGTTTTCAAATATACATGCTTGACCAAATAAGGCAAAAATTACATATTATAAAATGAAATGATAGCTCCCTTTGGAAGCTATGGACAAGATTTTTTAATGTCAACAGAAAGTGTAAAGAACAAAAAGGTTTACTTCAGACCAAAATCCATATAATAAGCACAAATAACACACCGTGTTCTGCTAATCATGCTGCTTGGAATGGGTCCTAGTACTCTTTCCATCATAGCAAGATGCTCCCGACTATCATGTGTCTGAAAGGAGAAAACAGCAAGCTTAAAAACAAGACAGCCATCATCTAGTTAACGAACGCCATTAAAAAAAAAACTGCCCAAGTGACATTATGGTGAATGTCACACAGCAAATGGGAGGAATGACAAAGAAAGCAAATGTATTTCTTCGCTGGATGTTGTGTGAGGTACTCAAGTCCAGATGTTAACATAAGCCATTTCTCCTGAATTTCAAACATGCCTGTACCGCAATCGTTTCATAGCCAAACTTAATTATCAATTATTTAGTTTGACGATGCAGGCTCAAAATCAACTTAAGTTGATTATTGCATAAAATTCATTTGTTGAGTATCACCCAAGAAGATATTTTGTCTGATGTAGACTTAAAAGAAATAATAATCATAAGCCACCGCTTTAGCAAATAATGAATACTTTTTGACGATATGTTCTCACATGTTTAAACCTTGGTCTTACTCCAAGGCATTGTACAAATGCTAAGATACAAATAAGATGCACTGAAACGTGGATTGACTTTTTGATTCTTTATGGCTTGAAGCTTCAAAGATAAGATCAGAGCTTCAATATTTGAAAGTGTTTCTTTGTTTTCAATGAATCAGCTATACAGTATAATCTGAAACAGTAGAGCCAAATTATCCACACTAACTAGGGACTCTTTGTGGACAGGTAAACAATCTGGGTTAGACACTGTGCACAAATTATCATACAACTGCACCATAAATTTCTTTGATGTAGCCAACAAAATTTAAGTGCATTGAACATGTACCTGCTTTGTATGGACCAATGTGTCATGCTCAGTTTTAACATTAATGTACAGGTTTGTTATAATTCAGTATTGTAATCTGACTATGGGGAACTAGGTAGTTTATTTGCAAATGCAGGGGAATAAAAAAAGCAGGAAAATTCACACCTGCACAGAAGCCTATTTTACATATCTGTGTGTTCAGAACTTTTAGATGTATGAGAAAAACAAAATAAATCCTCCAGTGAAATAAATATGTTCCTACCCAGAAACCAGGCACGTGCAAACTAAGTTTCTCAGCCAAACTGAAATGTTATTAACTTTGCAGGCCACTTTTACATATTCAGTATTGAGGGAAATTCTTACCTATCAATGTCATAGGAGGGAATTTCTTACCTGAAACAGTGTCAGACCAAGATAATATTCAAGTAGTATACAGCCTACACTCCACACATCACATGGATTTGACCAGCCCAATTCTAAAAAAGAGAATAAACTTCTCATTAATTATTCACTATGCACATATATAGAATGAAACAAGCCACATATATGGGCTATCTGGTCTTCCTCCATATTTGCAAAGTTTAAATACTTTCACCATTATACTAACCTAGAATAACTTCAGGAGCTCTGTAATGTCTGGTAGACACTACAGTACTATGGTGCTCATCATCAAATGTGGCACTGCCAAAGTCCACAACTTTGATGTCTGGATTCTTTACCGTTCTTTCATCGCGTTTCTATAAACAAAGATTAAATTGTAAATTACAACAGCATGAAAATATGTGAATGTTGTTAAAAAAGTCATTGGATTGGATAAGAGTGATCTTACCGTTTTACTGTTGTACTCTATGTCATGGTCAGAATTCATAAACAGAATATTTTCAGGCTTGAGGTCCGTATGAGTAAGCTTGTTACAATGCAAAGCTGTACCAAGTAAATATTTACACACATCAATAAAACTGAAGGTCAAAGTTGAATTTTTTTAACAAAACTGTATAAAACAACTATCTTTAGTAAATAAATTGCTTTCACATTGCTTTACAGTGCAGTAATTTTAGGGTACACAAAAAATTGGACACAATACAAGATCTTTCATACTCAAGTGCCAAGGGCGCATGCGAATACCCCGGTGCACATTCCAAGGTTAATTTGGCTGAGCCAGGCACTCCGCCATTTTTATAAATTAATGCAAATATTTAAACAGACTGCCCACTCCATTCCGAGAAAAGTTTAGAACTACTTTAAAAGCACATTCATACCCGGCCTAATTTTTAATATTTTAAAACACACAAATTTTACTCACAGTTTAAAGCACGACAAAGCTGATAGGCCATATGTTTGATCTGATGCATTGGAAACGGCATGAAATTATTTTCCTTTAAGAAATCATAGGTACTGAGTCCAAGGAGCTCAAAAGCAATGCAAATATGTCCATGGTGATCAAACCAGTCCAACATTTGTACACATCCACTGCAAGTCAAGAGCAACTTATATTAATAATTTCAGTAAATCAACCAACTCTACAATTCAATACTCTGGGTAAGTTAAGATTTCAAGTTAAAGTAGCTTAAAAGCATGGTGGAACATGCCACCTTAAATTTCAAGTCTTCAATTACCCCGAGGGAATATAATCCTGCCACCTACTGGTGCAAATTCAGCCTTAGATTTGCTTCAAATTACTGGGGAGATGTTACCAACATGGCCAGACAAGATAGCATCAACAGTAAGGATGCATATCCAATGGGAAGGGGGGGGGGGGGGGGGGAAGAGGGGAAGAGGGGGAAAGAGAAGAAATCAAGAGGAAAATATACAATCAACAGAAATGTAACCCACCAGCAAAGACTGGTCAGCACTAAAGTAAGAAAAAATCCAATTTCTACTTACTATACATTACCGTACTTTTTACTTATTTCTTCAAGTGCGTGTATTTCTGAATAGGCGGCGTCACGATACCTATCAACATTCTTTATGATCTTCAACGCCAAACGCTCACCTCCCCTGAAAGAAAAGCAGTCAGCTTTTGATATTCTTTAGACAATGAAATGATTTAAAATAAAATCTCTTCAAATTCATAAAAAGCTTCCGATGTTTCTATATAGCTAATATGTAGTTACAAAGCAATTTGCATTAATACAGCGAATCTCCCAGCTGTCTGGGTTCCTAAGCCCCAAGGGGAGACGGCAGGAGAGGAGATGACTGAAAGACAACGTGCGCTTGAAGACACAAGTCTGAATGTGGGAGAGGACAAGGCAATTATAATTAAGACAATAAATAGAATAAATATCCCTTACCTTTTAAGATCAATGCACTCCACTACCTTTCCAAAAGCTCCTTCTCCTAAAGTACAAACGATTTCATCTGAATGGAAAGAATTATTATTTATTATTATTTAAGAACCGAGAAACAATAACAAAAATGTATATATTAACAAAGAACTAATTTGAGCCTTGTTAAAGACATCTTAGAAATCGAGCATTGTTAATCTTAAATTAAAGCAATTTTATTACATTAAAATATGATCAAGCATATTCGTTTTACTAGTTATGGTACTCCTAATAAGATACTACACAAATATCTTTCAAAGCTAGTAACCCATATTTCAATTAAGGGGAAACTAATGTTACCCACCACCCAGAAAAAAAATTAAGAGAAACCCCACTTTGAAGGTTTCCAGGGCAAAGATTACAAGTAAACTCTAGAGTAGCATAAAGCTCTAGGAATGGTGTATTAAAATAAAAATTACATATATGGCTCGAAATACAAGAATACACACATTCAGGAACCCATTTATTNCCCCCCCCACCCACCACATCCATTTTCCCATGCTATGTTTTTTTTAAAAGTGCTCTGTAATAAATTGTTACGAAAATATTCTATACATCTCGCTTTCAGTCTGTCTCCAGTGTGATATACCAGGTGACCCTCCTCATCATCCTCAACATTCTTGGTTCTTCTCTGCCGATGACTCTTCTGTACTCGATAAGCGGTCAGCATCAAATTCATCCAGCCATTGAAAAAGGATAGTATTTCGGAACAGAACACACCATTCCCCAGGAGAGGATTCAGGAATTCATATACACGCCAATCCACGAAGGGCCATGGTAGGTTGATGGGTGCAAATTCAAATTCAATCCCCAGAAATTCACATGGCACACAGTGTATGTTACAGAAGAAAAACATGGCAAGGAACAGATTTTAAGATAAGATACTTCTTAAAAACTTCAAAGCAACATATGCATCAAAACAAATTCAAATTTAACAAGACTTCAAGATTCAAAGCAATGTTGGAATTTTCAAATAAAATGGGATTGAACCGCATTCTGAGGCAGAGCCAATGAACATCTCCAAATGCCACATTATGCAACTATACTTAAGAGTTTCATTGGGGCAGGCAAAGAGGAGCAGATGAAGGCAGAGATATTTTGAAAACTACATTAATTTGTTTCTGAAATACTTTACAAACTAGGGGGAAAATCTTGTACAATATTTCATTTGGGGGCAAAGGAGATGACAATCAGATTGTCAAGAAAAGATTGAGAAAATCTGCCAGATTATAGAGCATTTGTTAAAACATGCAACACAACATTGGGCGAATTTTCAAATTGACTGGATTCGCCCTTTTCAGAATGATTAGCAATGCCATTGAAAACTAGCCGAAAGTAAAGCACTATTTTCACCGCCTACTATGTTGCCTTACGATAATGAAGAAAATTCCGTCCATTAAAAATATTAGTAAACTTTACTTGAAGGAAATCTTTACAGCAACATTCCTATTTAGCTTTTTAAAAATATTGAATACATAATTTCACCAACACAGTACCACTGGTATTGTGTGGGAATACATGCAACATTGCAGTTGACATCACTTTCAAATGCCAAAAATCTAACAATCTAATAAAGCTTGACTAACCAGATTTAAAAACAGCATGGAATTCATACCCCCCCCACACCCACACCATCTAATACTGCCTTCCATTTACCTAAGTTTTGTATAAATATAAGTATTCAAACAGTGAATACCTCAATACATCAATTTCAAACAAATGTGTTCTTACCGAGTGTGAATCGTTACTTGTACCAGAGAGATGTTTTTTAGGTCTATGCCTTTCCCGGCTACTTTGCTGACTCCTTCCACTATCAGGTTTCCCTGACTTGCTGTAATTGTGATGGCTATAGTGGTAGCGATCATGTCGGCATTCTCTGTTGCGACAGCCATTCCTATATTCCATTTTGTACCCATCTCTGTATTCATGCTTTCCATCATGGTATTCCATGTGCTCATTTAAAGATTTTGTTTCCAAGTAATGGCTATAAAAAAAACTTACTAAATTACCAATCTTAATTGGCGGTGATAGATTTTATACTCTATATATAAATATTTTACTCACCCATCTGAAGGTTTTAAGTGGTGATGATTCTTGTGCCGTTTGTTTTCTCTTTCACTGCTGTGAGACACTCTTCTGTATTTATGACTACTATAACAGTCTCTGTAGTCCCAGCTCTCTCCGCTGCTCCAATCAGGGCTCCGTGCTCGCTTCAAGTGAGGCATCTGAAAATTTACACATTTACAAATAACTAACCAATATAAGCCTCGACAAAACCACACCTCACAGAAAACATACAAATTCAAAAGAACTGCATTATAAAATAGCGGTAGTTGTTGTCATAAAGTAAAACAAAGGCAATGCATCCAATGGCAAATTCATATTGGAACCTCAGCAGTGATGGTCAGAAATTGAGATATTTTCTTCATGTCACCTTGTGCCCAAGTGCTGAATACCTTTTGGCTCGCTCATATGGGCGTCGTTCCAACAAAGAATGCATACATGATGACCTTGGATTTAATTCATGTCTAGATTCCTCCTTTCTTCTAATTGCCTTTGACTTGTTCTCTGTATTGGGGTATGCTTCCATATGTGTTGGTTAGCCTGTAGTACCTCATCTATGTGGCAATTATTCATGTACAAGTCTGTACATCAAGTACTTCACAATAAAGCCTGATGCATTGAAGTATATTTGGTCTGGGCAAAAGTCTATACTGCTCTTCTGCCCTGTCAGCTGCCCATTATCTAAAACTGCATTTTTCCCTTCTTCCTATGGGATGTTAACGTACTCTTGTCATCTGATATACATAATTATCTAACTCCCTGCTGGAGTTACTGGATATTGATCAAGAACACTTGGCAAATTTCTTCTTGGTAACCCAATGTTAAAACTTGCAATGTACAAACTCTGTACACTTAGCGCTGACCAGGGATTATTCCTACTCTCTAGAATTAAGCACTTTGGGATGGCGTCTTTCTGACGCGAAAGAAACTAAGATCTGAAATTTGATTCTAATTTTTTTTTAAAAATGTATACAATAATAACATTTTATGAAGACACCAAACAAAGTATAAAATAAAATCCTCTGCCCTCGATTAGCAAGGGAAAAAAGTCTTTCAGCGTCGCACGGGAGTTTTTAAAAAAAGCAATCTGATCAGATGAAGACGGCCAAACTGTGCCGACGACTGTGAAAACCATTGACGAGAGGAGGACCCGCCCAAATAAACTGTTGCGGATTCAAAGAACCTTCAGGATGGTGGATCTTTCAATTCAAAACAATACGATCTGGGCAGATCAAGACTTGGTATCAAAATCGCTCGCTTTCCGGATAGGATCGGTGGGGGGGGGGAGAGAGAGAAGAAAATAACGACGACAACAACCCTTGCATTTGATATAGGGCCTTATCATGTTCTGCCAAGACGGTCTCAAAGGGCTTCACAGAACTACGCTGTAAAGTGAATCGACTGCGTGCTTCGTGGGCGTCGGGGCTGTGTTTAATTAAAAGTCAATTAAATAAACTGCATATGAACTTGGAAAAAGAGCACAAACTCACTCACTAACACACACACACAAAACCCTGAAAGACAGACAGACAGACAAGACAGACTCTGGTCGCCATTTTGCCTCCACACAAGACAGACAAGACACACACACACACACACTCAGAGCTAACAAGAAAGCCTGGACTCACAGCGACGGCCATTTTCTCTCTCTCTCTCTCTGTCTGTCTGTGTGTGTGTATCAATCAACACTCAAGGCCTCCCAGAGCCTTTAATTAATTAATCAATAAATAATAAGTGATAAATAATCCTTGCATGTATTATTATTATTATTATTATAGTTTAACCGGAGGAGCTGCTACTTGACCTCGAGCACAACCCCGACGGTCGAATAAACAAACCCATTTCCTCCTCAGTAAAGTCTTGCGACACGAAGCCCCCGCGCCCACGGCTTCTCACGCGGGCCCAGACTTGCCCACAGCTACACGGTTACCGATTGGTATCTCTGTGTCGACAATCTATATTTTTTGTGTCTTGACGCAAAGGCAAAAAAAAAACCCACTAAAAGCGGCTTTTGGCCGCCGTTGGCGCGATCCCCTCCCCCTCACCCCCCCTCCCCTCACAATCTCCCCCTCACACCCTCACCGCCCTCTCAGCCCCTCACCCTCACCCCCCCTCCCCTCACACCCCTCAGTCCCTCACCGCCCCCCCCTCAGCCCCTCACCTCACACCCTCCCACTCCGCTCACACCCCTCCCTCCTCTCAACCCCTCCACCCTCACTCCCCTCCCCCCCTCTCTCTCACTCCCCCTCCCCCCCCCTCTCACACTCCCCCCCCTCTCAACTCCCCTCTCTCACTCCCCCCTCTTCACTCCCCCCCTCTCTCACTCCCCCCTCTCTCACTCCCCCCTCTCTCACTCCCCTCCCCCCCTCTCTCTCACTCCCCCCCTCTCTCTCTCTCACTCCCCTCACCCTCTCCCCCGCCCCCTAACTCTCTCACTCCCCTCACCCTCTCGCCCCCCCCTCTCGCCGCCAGGCTTAAAACTCCCCATCCAACCCGAGCGAGTCTCGAAGGAAAAAAAAACAAAGAGGAAAATAAACTGCCGCCGCCTCAGAGAGGGTGACAGACACACAGGCACCGACACAGGCAAAGAGACAGACACACACACACACACACTGAGAAGGGGGGGGAAATGTCTTACATTTGGAGCCCAAACAGGGCCTCTGAAAGGCGAGGTGAACGTGCTGAGGGAGATGTTACTGACTGAAGGAAGACACCTCTCTCTCTCTCACACACACGCACTGGCGCAGCTCCTCTTCACAAAATGGCGCCGGCCGACACCTCACAGAAGCTTCCCGCAAACCAACAATAGGGGCGGGGCGACGTCACGCGGCTGCGTCAGCCGCCCCTTCGCGCGTGGCGACGCGACGTCACGCGGCTGCGTCAGCGCGCCCCTACGCACTGCACTGGGTGTGTGGGGGTGTGTGTGTGTGTGCAATATCACGTGCTTCTTACGCGCGGGGGGGCGGGGCGTGAAAATTGCACTCTGGGAAATGTAGTCTGCCCCCTTCCCCCCACACACTCATAATGATATCATTTGTAATATTAATTACTATTGTTATAATAAATAATTTCACTCGCTTTCACAGGTAGTGAGGTGCACAACTGATATCAAATAGCAATTTTGGACATAATAATGATGATAATAATGATAATAATAATAATTATTATAATAATAATGACAACAACAACAATAATAATGATAATGATGATAATAATCCTTGCATTTTGATGTAACGCCCTATCGCGTCTTCGAGACGTCTCAAATCACTTCACAGGATACACTGTAAAGCGAATTGACCGTATGTTTTGTGGATGGATTGAGGCAGCCAATTGGGCAAAGCAGTTTCCCGCAGTAGTGGCGATCGTAGTTTCACCCGTGTTACACGCCGTTTGAGCAGATAATCAATGAGCAGTAAAGCACACACACGAGAATCAAAAAACACTCGCACACGCTGCTTTTTGTTTTACCATTTTATCAGCAGATACACAGAAAAAAGTCTTAAAGTACACATGCATACGTCATGCGAATATGACTTTTGTGATCACATCCCTAACGACAGTATTAATCATTTTTTATTTGCTGATCGAAAATGAAATTTTGCCACATCTGGATTCCCAATTCGCCACATATGACTCGTGGTTATTCTGTTGGACATCCCTGGTCTAGACTGACACTGCTACGCAGTGGTGGGATGGTGCTATATTGCGTAAGGTACGATTCTTTGGATAAGTCAGCCATGAAACCAAGGTCCTGTTTGCCTGTGGATGTTCAAGATCCCGTGACACTATTTGAAAAGAGAGTTTTCCCCTGTGTCTTGGTCAATAAATCCCCAGATATAATTGGCCAGTCCCATTTTGTGGCTGTTTCTGGGACAATGCTGTGCCTAAATTTGCTGCCACATTCGCCTACAAACCACACAGTCACTTCACTTTACAGAAAAAAAATTAATTCCTTGGAGGTGCTTGAACACAATAGGAGCTGTATCAAACGCAAGGATTATTTGGGGTTGGTTTGTATTATTGTTTGCAATGTAGATCTCGAGTTTTATTCCACTGCAGTTACACATCTGCTAAATCAACATGACATAAATTTGAAGTGGAGCTCAGAAAACAATGAGTAAAGAAAACCGCCTTCAAGGCCATGGATTTTTATGACCCCTTGTTTGCTTCAACTTTGCTCAATGTCACCTGTGTTTCAGAGATGGAAGTTTGCTGAAACTGCAGGTTTGTTGAAAAGCGTTTAAGCCTTTTTATGATTCTTACTTAATTATAAAATGACAAATGTGGTTTTCGTTGGTCCACACAGTTAAGAGTTTCGATTAATAGTGAAGAGTGAAGGAATATCTTCGTACCAAGGGTTGGCAAGTTTGCTTATCTTGCATAATCTAGTCCTGCAACAAAACTTTAATGATCATATAAAAAGATATGCTTTAGAACAAGCTGCAAGATAAACAAGAATGTATCGGAGGTTACCAAGATAAAGTAAACTGTAAATTATTTGTCCTAGAGCTGTATCAAAAGGGCCCCGAAAACCTATGGTGTAATAATAATAATCCTTACAATTGATATAGCACTTTATCATGTCTTCTAGATGTCTCAAAGCGCTTCACAGAATATACTATAAAGTGAATTGCCTATATATTTTGTGGGGGAAACGTGGCAGCCAATTGCTCACAGAAGCGTCCCCACAAACAGTCGTGGATTGGTGACCAGATTATTATTATTTTGATTTATTTATTTTTGGAAGGTTTATTACCCCTGGGAAAGCGATTCAGCAATTGGCTGACAACCGGGTTCCTACTTACTGCTCGGTAAACAGGCATGTGGAGCAAGGAAACTTGCCCAATGTTTTGCCCTTAGATTAATTCTAACTGGAAAAACTAGAAAAAATATATGATCAATTTTAAGATACAAATTCATATACTTAATTTCATGGCTAATTGTGGGACATTGCTAAGTGCAAATTAGCTGCCAATTTCACTGACAACACACTTTTCAGTAAATCCTGCAAAACACACACATATATATATATCAAATGTAATGACTATTATTTGAGTGGTTATGATTAAACTAGAAACTAAGTTTTTAAATTGGGCTTTAAGAGTTGTTTTTTATTCTTGCTTCCACACCCTGTCTAAACATTTCAGCAAATGGGTTATTCAGTTAGAAACCTGTGCCGTTAACCTTGTACATTAAATGAGGCTTGGTTTGATTTTCTAGCACAGTAGATTGCCGAAAATAGCAGTCTAAGTAAAAATGGATGAAGGATGCTGGCACAAGTCTTTCAAGTTGGGTCATATTCATAATGTTTTACATCATTTATTCATCGAGTTTAAAACACTCACAGCTATAGGTACAAAAATTAGAAATTAACGACAATCCAGGCAAACTGTTAGAACACAGTATAAATTACACATTTTATAAATTCTATACATAAATTAGCCAGAATATAACCAACAGTAGATTTCCATTAATAACCTCGTACATCGGTATAAAAACTCAATTTTCAAATACCACAGCTGCAACTTCATGTCTTATTTTACCAAACATAGCGAACAGCAACAGAACTGTAGAATGAATCATGCCAAGCAACGAAAGACAACAAAACAGTTTTTTTTCCAAGTGCTAAATGCGGCAATGAGATGACAAAATGACAAGTACCTGTAATGGAAAACTATACACGTGTTCTCAAGCCTTGTTACACTTGCAAAATAGTGCACAGTCACAGCAAACATTACTGCCAGGGTCCTCAACACTCACGAACAGAGAGCTATCAGTTGTGCAAAATTGTGAGATGCCTTGGCGATTCCCATTATCTACGAAACTTAATAAAGCGAGAGGCAACACAGTTTACCAAAAAGAAAAGCTATCAAGTAAGTGCTCAAGTCTTTGAGACGTCTCAAAGCGCTTCACAGAATATCCTGTAAACTGAACTGACTGTATGTTTTGTAATAATAATTATAATAATAATCCTTGCATTTGATATAGCGCTTTTCACGTCGGGAGGACGTCCCAAAGCGCTTCACAGAACACACTGTAAAGCGAAGTGACTGTATATTTGTGGGCGAACGCGGCAGCCAATTGCGCACAGTGACCAAATTATTATTTTTAGGTATTATTATGTATGAGTCGAATGTGTGTGTGTGTGTGTGTAGATGAATAATGCTAATAATGAATCGTGGCAATTCGTCTTGTTGAAGAAGCAACAATTCCACAAGTTAAGAATTGCTGAGTCAGAAATTTTGAAGGAATAAAGATAATAATAATTAAAATAATAATTCTTGCATTTGATATAGCACTTTATCACGTCGTTGAGACGACTCAAAGCGCTTCACAAAATATACTGTAGTGACTGTGTGCTTTGGGGGCGAAACGCGGCAACCAATTGCGCACGGCAGTGTCCCACAAACAGTCGTGGATTGAGATTGAGATATTTCACATGCACGTGAATGGACAGTTTGTGTGCTGTGCCCACTGAATAAAATATTACAACACAAAATATGCACGATGTAGAATTACCGGAGTCAAGTACACAGCTGAATATCAGTCTAATAGAACCTTCCTGCACGTGGCAGCTATCAGTTTCAGTGGAGACAGGAGACTGCAAAGCAAAGGCTCTGCTTTCTTGAGTTTAACTTTGAATAGGTTTGAATCCACCCCGAGGTGAATTTTAAACACGAGCAATCCAGTGCTCAGACTATAAAAAGTGGAGTCATTTTAATGGGTACATTCGTCCATAAGAACATAGAACATAAGAATTAGGAGCAGGAGTTAGTTGGCCATTCAGCCCCTCTAGCCTGCCCCGCCATTCAATAAGATCATGGCTGATCTATTCTAACTCCACCCGCTCGCCTTATCCCCATATCCCTTAATCCCTTTATCCACAAGAAATCTATCATTCTCAGTCTTGAGTTCAGAGTTCACTGGGAGTCCAGAATTCATTGAGAGGTTCAGTCCAATGCTCGACAGAAACGCTTGTCTTAAATTCAGTCACGAAAATCATGCGGCGACCGAAATAACCTTGGGATTTTCCAGTCTTCTGCAAATAGAATATGTACAACTTAAATACGGCTTTGTGCAGAGTATTCCTTGTCCAGTGGTCCAATGGTGGGTGTGAGGAAATACATTTTGCTTTCTGATGATGAATCCTGCTCATCAAAGTTCATAACAAAACCTAGACCCGTGCTGGGTGTCTAAAGTCAACAGTGCAAGGCTATGTTACTGGTCGGATTCGATCACATGCGCTCAGGTCTTTCCTAACAGTGTTGACCTGAAACAAACAAGAGTTAAGAAAAAATGAGACAGTTTCCAGTGTTTGAAAATACTGTGCATTAAACATTAATACTCGAAATACTGAAACATGATGTAAATTCGAATGGACTATTGTACAATACAACACAAAATTGCATTTGTATAGCGCCTCTGACGTTGGGAGAATGAGCTGGGGTTCGGGATCAGGAGAGGTGGAGGGCATGGAGGGTGGGGGTAGGAGGGTGGCTGAAGGCACGGTCGAAGATGAGGGTCTTGAGACGAGCTTTGAAGGAGGCGAGGCGAGGGAGGGAGCGAGGCGAAGGGACTGTGGGATGGAGTTCCAGAGGATGGGGGCAGAGAGGCTGAAGGCCATTGGTGGGGTGGGCTGGCCGGGGGGTGTGAAGCCGGCCAGAGCCCGCTGAGCGGAGGGAGCGGACAGGTTGAGATGGGGTTAGCAGGGCGCAAAGGTAGGTAGGGGGAAGGCCGTGAAGAGCTTTGGAGGCGTTGTAACCATATTGTAACTATTTCCTTGGCGATATTTGTATTTACTTAATAATGAATCATATTGACTACAGTACGTTACTGTATGAACAGCTATAGCTTCTATTACTATAGAACTTAAGTTTACCTGAGAGTTTTCCATCTGTCTTTTTCAAGCTGATTTTCTGGACTCTCACTTTCATACGAAGCCAAATATAAACCTTAAAAGTAGGAAGATATACATTTGTAAACGTATTTCCTTAAAGATTTGCTCATCACCATTCACTCCCTGACATCAAATAATTAGGTTAGCTGGTTTCTGATTGTAGTACAATTAAAAGAACAAATGACATACAAGTTATATTTGAGTTTTGGAAATTAAAGGCAGAGTTCGTTAGAGAAATCATAATTCATTCTGAATTTTTCTCTTTAGAGAGCGGCTAAAGTATAGAATAAGCTACAGAGGTTCGGAACAATGTGTAAAAAAAAATAAAGATTTAGATTCAAACTCATTTGGTTCCATGCTTAGAAATCGATTAAAAACATACCCCACAGGGCAACATTTCACCATTGGGAGCTAGGGTTCAAATCAAGGTGGGATTAAAATCCTCTTCTCCTCCGGCACTTTTTTGAGGTCAGCTGACACGTGCGGAAACCCATCACCGTGTCACCGTTGCTTAAGAGTCTCCAAACCAAACTGAGAACTCCACGCATCCCACCTTCACATGGAAATCCCAGGATGGAACGCATGCCTACTCTCTATCTCTCTCTCTCTTCCTTGAGGGACACATCCTGTTTACCTAATTGCGGAAAGTATTAGATAGTTGGGGGACCCCAGAGTGTGTGTTGGGGTAACTGCTAGAGTCTAACCAGCTAAAGCCGCAATAGCTAGCCATTGATGTGTCCTTGCGATTGACTGTCCGGGCAGTATTAAAGGTCTGACACAAAATAATCTTGATAAGTCTCTTACATTCCCAGTGCGGATATAACAGTCTGAGCAGCAAGTCTACAATAATAATAATAATAATAATAATAATCCTTGCATTTGATATAGCGCTTTTCACGTCGGGAGGACGTCCCAAAGCGCTTCACAGAATATACTGTAAAGTGAATTGACTGTATATTTGTGGGCGAACGCGGCAGCCAATTGCGCACAGCAATGTCCCACAAACAGTCGTAGATTGAAAATGACCAATTTATTATTGTTTTGGGTTTTTGGAGGGATTATTATTAGGCGTGTGGAGTAAGGAAACTTGCCCAAGGTTTCGCCCTGCCTGGAAGGCTGTACAATGTGCAAAAATCTCACACGGGTACATTTGGGAGTTAAAAGAGTTGCTGCATATTTTTGACATCAAATGTAGGGCTGAATAAAGAAAGATTCCACCTCTGGCCTATATTATCTTTGGGGTTTTTCTTCATACGGATCCTGAATACAAAAGAAAAAGAAGTGTTGATTTTGAATGGTGAATGAACGAATGGACTTTACCATCTTCTGAAAACACTGGCGCTGTGTGAAGATAATGGAGAATGTTTCGATCCTCTTCAAAAGGACATTCGACTTGTTTCCATGTCATAAATTCTCCGACTTGTCTGGCCAGTTCCAAAAATTTCTACAGAAGATCAAGAAGTTTACAAATTTTCAATGATTTGGCAACAATGGTGGTGGTAAGATCAGAAGCCAGTTATATTGACAATTTTCTATATCTTCAAATGTAAAAGAAAACTGTTAATAACCTTTGAAGGATTATGATTAGACTGCAGGCAAATCCAATCCACTGCCAATTTTTTCTAAGCTGCTCAAAAAATCCAAAGAAAGTTATAATAACCCTTGTAATGGATATAGAGCTTTTCACTTCACATCAGGGGATGCCTCACAACGCTTCACTGGTGATCCTGTGAATTGTAGTGACTGTATTTTGTGGAGAAAAGAAAAAGAATTGTCCCCAAAGTAATAAAACGATGGAGCTACAATACAATACAAAATTACATTTGTTTAGCACCTTTCACGTCAGGCGGACGTCCCAAGGCGCTGAGTGATGAACGGAATTACCTGCTCTTTTTTTTGATGAGTTTCTTTGTTTCTTTGCTAAAAATGCTAGAGTGTGAACTGGGGCTCCATAAAGGGGTTACTTGTTTCCCAGATCACACACTGATTAAGCCACGAGGCTGGATAGCTGGCCTACTTCCAGGTTACAGTCCGTGTCCCTACACTGATCCAGTGTCTGGGAAACCTACCTCAAAATTCACATGCCATTCGGAAGACGGTTTGCACATCCTTCATTTAAAAAATAAATGTCTTTGATCAGTAGGCTGAAGAAGGGAATCACAATCTGCAAGAAAGCAATGGATGTTTTCGTCAGTAGCTTCCCATGCTGCTTCTGGTTCTCAGACCAGGAAAAAAGGTCTTTCAAATTAACGGCAACTTACACCGGTACACTGATCCACAGGGAAATGCCTTACACATAGGAAATGTCTGAACCCACTTCACGCTGTTGGAGCCCAGGGAACCCAAGGAAGGTGGGAAATAGGAGGGAGAACAGGAGCGGGTTGAGTTCTAGAAACATTTCAGAAACATTTTGGAAGCAGAGAGTTAGGGGGGAGGGTGTGGAGTGCCTGAATTTTGGAAGAGAGTTCCAGAAAGTGGGGAAAACATGTCTGAAATCATGATGTGATTATGTGCAGCAGCCCTTAGCAGGTGAAGTGAGTGGGAATGTGGGCTGTAATAGATTATAGAAGTAGAGTAGGATTTCAAGAGGATCTGGTCACTGAGGCACAGAGAGCCAGTGGAGCCTGGCGAGGGTGAGAACAAGGAGCTTAATGATGGGAGACATTACAGGACTTTGGTTTAACATCTCATCTGATGGGCATCACCTCTGACAATGGCAGTTCCCTTCAACACTGCATTTGAGATTTCAGGCCGGACGAGGGGCTCAAAATCTCAATGTGGGGATTGATCCAATCGTTAGCGGAAGGCAGACAGAGCTGAGAGTTTGCCCACTGGAGTTGGCGGGGATGCAATTGGGGGCAAAGTGTTCACTCCCACTAGCACCGTAGCTCCACAGAACTGCGGGTTTGGAGAAATTGTCCTGCTGGCTACACCCCAGCTACAGTCACTACCAGCTCAGATGTTGTTCCTCAGTGTTCACTTATAACCCTTCCTAAGGACCGACATGGTTTCAGCTAATTAGACGCATTCAAATATAATGAGTTCAGACTTTGGGTTCCTAACCCTGCCTGAACCACACATAAGCATTGACAGATAACAACTGAAGCTGATTATAAGACACATCACACTGTAAACTGATCTGAACCTGGCCTTGAGGAGGAAAATGGAGATCAAAACACGAATGTCAAATCAGGTTGGGACCCAAGGGACTTTGCTCTTGCTAACCTGCTTTGTTATTTCCCACCGCGGAATAAAGCGGTAAAGTTTCTTTAAAATCCATAAAACTGTCAACTCTATCAGTGAAACGTGGTGCAAGGCAGAATTCTACAATGATCCTGCTGCTCCAGAGGGGAAAATAACACTGCATTTCCTTGTCGATTCGAATATGGTTATGGGAACCTGGAAATCATTAGATGAAAAAAAAAGACCAAGGTCAATCCAGTCTGCCTTCCACCATCCTGGGAGTTGCATGCTACAATAATGGAGATGTTAATAGCGACTAATTCTGTATTGATTAATCTACCATCACAGCGTTTGAAAGCTTTGGAAACCTTAGATCCAAAGTTTCCTAGTTCTTCCAAGCAAATGACCCTGGTCTTGTATTATTATTATTCGTGACGTTGGCTCCTGTCAATCAATGCCTTAATGCTTCATTAACAATCTTACCTTTTCACGGTTACTGTGCGCAGTTAGGGATCGGTGAGCAGCACCTCGCAGAGCTGTCCTGTAGTTGTAGAAGTTACCTGTAGGATCCATTTGATGCTATAGATCAAATTCACAAAGGCCATCATTTTGGGTATGACTTAACCATCATAGGTAGCAATGTTGATACGTTAAATGTAACAATAATAATAATACTAATAATAATCCTTGCATTTGATACAGCGCCTTATCACATCGTTGAGACATCTCAAAGCACTTCACAGGGTATATTGTAAAGCGAATTGATTGCGTATTTTGTGGGTGAAACACAGTAGACGATTGTGCACGACAGCGTCCCACAAACAGTCGTGGATTGAGTGACCAAATTATTTATTCATTTTTTTGGAGGGATTATTACCCCCGGAAAGCCATCCGCCAATTGAATAACAACTGGGTTGCTACTTGGTGCTGGTAAACAGAGGCGTGTGGAGTAAGGAAACTTGCCTAAGGTTTTGCCCTGCCCGGGAATCGAACTCAGGTCCTCTCGCTTGCGAGGTGAGCGCGCTATCTGCTATGCTATAGGAATCCATTTTTTCTGCCATACCACTCAACACTTTACACTCACCTCAAGAACAAAAAATTTAGCCGTTTTAACTTTTCCCCAAGTTTTCTTCAGCCGGGAAACAGGACTCATGTTCATACCAGCTACAGGAAGAAAGAAAGATTGTCACTCGAGCAATGCAAAAACCTTTCCCCTAAATGGTCTGTAACAACATTATTCTTCCTTTGTGTAAGTGTACATGGGTTAGCTGTGGTAAGTAGCGCAGGAAAAAATAAGGCGAGTGGAGGTTCGAGATTCCAAAGGTCTGATCTGGACTGCACAAGGACATGCACCAAACCAAACGAACGCCTGCTAATAATTGATGAAGTTAAAATAAAAATATATATATCTATATATACATATTTGAATCTTCAGATTCATGCAACGCAAAGCAATTGTCTGTAAGGTAGGGAGGCCAAACTACTGTTAGGCTAACGCAAAAGACTTTACAACAAATTGCTGTTATACTTTACCTGTACTTAAATTTCCCAAAACTGTTCATAACTTTGCATTTTGATCTGTGCAGTCCAGGGAGGGCAACTAAAAGGGGCCGAGATTCCTCTTTTCGCACAAAAAAAAACAGGAGAAAAACCTGTTCAATTAAATTTTAAAAGAAAGTCTAATGAATTGCGTCAGTGCCTGGGGGAATCTTAAACACGGTGTGTGAGAAATTTAATCTCATTAATGAAAAAGTTTCAGCCACTGATGCTGTTTACCTAATAATAATGAGCGCTCGGTGTAGCTGAAAAAGCTAATGAGCCATTCATTTGGCTATAAATGCTGAACGCATTCTTCCTTTTAATGGCCTCTAACAAGGGCCTAATAATATAATCACTTCCTTTCTACCTTAGGGTTTATGTCGGTTTTCTCAATGACGAGGAAACCTGGGCTACACATGGATGATTCATGCATTCCCTGAGCTCTCCGCATATTACACAAATTCACATTATAGGTATGGTTAATGAACACAGCCACGTCAAGCCCTCTGTGAGTTAACACGTGAAATGTCTCAAAGCCCTCGACTGAAATGATGGTGAAGTTAACCGACTGTGCATTTGGGTAGTTGAACACTGCAGCCGATGTGGGCACAGCATAAATATACCCAAACCAGCCATGAAGTGAATGATCAATTTTATCAGGTGGGGACTGTTGGCCGGGAAATCAGGAGAAACTCCCTTCTCTTTTGGAACAGTGACGTGGGATCGATCTTTGACGTCCACTTGAACAGGCAGGTGAGACCTTGGCTTAATCTCTCACCTGAAGTAAACTGCACCCGAGTGTCAGCCTGGACTGTGGGCTTAAAGTCCTGACTTGAGCCTTCACGTTTCTGACTCTTAGCCCCGAGTGAGACTAAGTACGCCAGTCGCCCAATTTACTTGAACTAAATTATCACTCAGGGTTTCAAATTTACTTCTTCAACGAGCCAATTAGGGTATACTTACATATAATCGCCATCAAGGAATTAAAGTTGCCAATATTAAAACACTCTCGAGCAACGTCAATAAAAAATTCTATTACTTGTGCTCTGTGTTTCTTCTTTGCAGGCTGCAATTTAAGAGGGGGGGAAAAAAAAAGACAAATCCGATTTAAATTCATGAACCTGCGCAAGTACCTTGGCATAACTTTGAAGCGAGTGTGATTAAAATTGATGTGCCGTCTGTTGTAAAAGTTATGCTCTTACCATGCATATTTCAGTAGCTACTAAATAGCAGAGTCTGTTGAACCACTTGACATAAGCTTCGAGATGGTGGGTTTTCTTCTGATCACTGAAGCAAGACTTTTGGGGAGAAGCAAACACAGATTAATTAAATGGATTTAGAAGACACTTAATTTCCGCTAAACGGTGCACTTGTAAAAAAAAAATAAAGAGAGACCTGCTATATATACCCACTAGCTGGGGGAAGTTTCGCTTAGATCCACTTTGCCCCCAGTGCTAACTGTAAGCGCAGTAAACCTGGTTTCCAACGCGAACAAAATGACCAACTTCTGGGTCACCTGTTTAGCATTACCTCTTTGGTATATCTCGATATAAAAGAAAATATTACACTGAAACTATTCTGTTTAAAAAAATATGCAAATGAAATTGAAAACGTCATCAGGCGGAACGTCAGGCCAGCCAGCAACGAGGATTTTTGTAAAGCAACTTTTTTAAAGAGTTGATAATGAATTAATCTGCAATGCTATTATACAACCACCGAGGGGCAACAACAGTATTTAAAATAAGCCAAATAAGTGTTAACCTAAATTCAAAATGAATGTTGTACTTAACTTGGTGGTTGTATTTTAAGATATTTTTCTACTCTGTATGGATGGGACTGAAGAGTAGAGTTCAGCATTGCCCACATCAGTCTCTAAACCCCTTAAAAAAAAGGGAAGCTTCTACATCGCGCGGTACGTGAACAAACTGCTACCAACACAATCGTTTTCGGTTAAACATTAATTTTATTCTCTGAACACTCCCTAACGCATCTTGCTCACTTTAATTTCTTTCTTTTGATTTCCGGGGAGATGCCGGCATAAAAGGATTATTTTTACAAGGGCTCCTCGCTGAGCACATTTACTCTTGGTAAAAAAAAATTTAAAAATTAAATTGACTGAAAAGGGGAATAGAAGCAGTAGGTGTTAATTAAGAGCAGATGGAGAACACCTTTAGTTTAACTCTCCTGCTGCCTATAAAATAGGATTATGAAGGTTACACGTTAAAATAAGAGGCTTGATCCAATTGACAACGTAAATTATCATCTGTTACTATTTAATCAGTGCTCTCTCCTGTATTGTCGAGTATAGAGTATTTAATCGTACGTTTAGAAACATGGAAACATAGAAACAGGAGGAGGCCATTCAGCCCCTCGAGCCTGTTCCACTATTCTATAAGATAATGGCTGATCTGTACTTCAACTCCAATTGCCCCTTATCCTTTGATACCCTGACCTAACAAATATCTATCCACCTCGGACTTGAAACCGTGAATGGCTCAGTTTCTTTACAATATGGGGATATCATTACAATTTTAGTGCTTGTTAAATTAATTATTTCACAATTTTAATACATGTTACATTTATTAATGCCAATCATAATTTCCGGGGAATATTATGTATGCATGTGCTGCTATGATTTATTTAGAAAGAAATCCTTCTAATGTCCTCTCTTCTTCAGGAGACATTGGCTCATGCTGGGGAATAGTTTCATAGGTCCCGGACTCGATCCACATCTAACTGAGTAATTATTCCTTGCCCTCCCAATTCTTCAATGGCCTATATATATTATCTGTCCTGGGATATATATTATATGTTATATATTATCAGCGCCTTAGGACGTTCTCCCGACTCTGTAAAATGTAATTTTACATTGAATTGTATATATCAAGGAACCTGATTCTATTAATTTAGAACTATTTTGTCTAAGTTAGTTTAGAACTATCCCAAATTATCTTTTGGATACAACACATTGTTGGAAAGTTGTACCTTGGTGTTATCCTTGTGTACAAATGCTTGTACAAACTCTTCGGGACCAATAAGACTCAATCGTTCCTGAAGAAAAAGAAATCAACGTTACTATCCTTTGAAACAGGAACTGATGTAGCTTGTTTTTTAATTTCCCCGTCAAAACGCAAGTCTCTTGTTAAATCAACTTTAAATTAAATTAGGTAGTTCAAACAACATCACAGCACCACCATCTCTCTCTCTCTCTTTGCCTTTAGCTTCTGTTATTTCCATGCATGTGTTTCCTCCGGCACATAGCATGCTAAAATGGTGTTAAAATAAATTCTGCTAAATCTTTATTGCATTAGGTCAATGTTTTATTCATTATTCTGTCAGATTATAATAATTTATTCATATATAGCCAAATTCCGCAATGCACAGCCTCACGACACAAATGCGCTATCTAACTATATGTGATTTGTTGCATTCGTCAGTGTAAATTTAAAGGCTGATTGCCTAATAGGAATTATTTCCCATGATAAATATACATGGTCTTAGAATAATAACTCTATAATTATTGGGCCCGGAAAATAAATTTGAATGAGGTCGAGAAATAAACTTCGTAAATACCAGTACTGTTAATAATTGTTTATCAACAATTCCCCAAAGAAGAAAAAAACAAGCAACTTACAGGCACGTTACAAGCCAAAATATGAAGTAATAAATCTGGAAAGGTTTCAGCACTTTATAAACTCTAGAAATGTTATTACTAATACCGCAAATTGGCTAAACCTACCTGGTTCTTCTTATTCACTTATTCTTAAATCGATAGCTTTACATTTGAGATAATTTGTAAGGATTACAGCATCAGACAAAATATCTGCTAATAAATGCTATTATATATATTGCAGATATTATTCCTGTCAGAAAAGCTGAGGCGATGCACAAATCATCTCCACTGCTTCCCATCATTTCTGTTCATTTTCGCATGTTTCAGTATCTTAGTTATTTCGTAAACCTGGACTCCGTTCGTTTGTAAAACTGACTGTACAATAATCGCAATCGCTCGAGCGTAACAAACTGGGGGGAAAAAAACAAATGGGAACAAAAATAAACTGCCACCGCAACAAATTACATTTGTCCTGCGCCTTTCATGACTGTGTTGGTTTCATACTCCACACAAGATTGTGCTCTTTTATCTTGTGTAGCCATCGATTGCCTTCTCTCTAACATATGGATCGAGTTTCCTCTTAAATACATTCGCCCACAAAATACACAGTCAACTGATGGTCAGGACACCGGGAAACACTTGACTGTGTTTTTGAGAAGTGGCACAAGTTCTTTAATGTCCACCCCAATCAGACGGTGCCGCAGATTAAATGCCGCACCTGAACCGCAGAGCCTCCGGCAGTGCAGCACTGGCCCCAAGTGTTTGCTGGTTTTCATTTCGATCTAGAATGCCAATGTTTCTCCCCGGAATCGCAAGAGCCATTCGCACGATGAAGATAATGCGGATGGTCCAATATGGCCTCCCATGGCCTTTACTTTCCCCATTAAGTTAGTGTCACGGGGTCTCAGCACGAACAGAAAAAAAGACCAACTGTACAAACATTTTTAAAATACAATTAAGCTCCAATGAACGCACCATCACAACTCACCAGTTCTACGTGAGTTAGCTGTTGGGCGAGTGTATACGGATCGTTACAGATGCTCAGTGCGTCTCTTTGAATAGAAGGAGGCTTTGTTTTGATGATCACCAGTTTGTCGGAGACGCCAGCGTTGACTTTGACCGTGCTGTCTTCGCTCTGATTTAGAGTTGCCAACTTTTGGTTCAGGTTCTGCAAGCGCTGATTCATCTTCTTCCAATAACTCTGAGGAGAAATAAAACGTCTCCGTGAAAGTGACAGCAAATTCCTCTCCGCACGTACCACAAGCCACACACACCTGTTAATGTCACAGGTGATTTATTTTATTGCGCATTCAAAACAATTAATTAAGTACAGGCATTAAGAGGTGCACTTAAGCACTCAACCCATGCATGAACCTGACAAGCAAAGTGCTCGCTTAATATCTAATGCCATATTTTTGCAATTTTATTACTGTAAAATAACAAGTCGAACCACTGGTGACTTTTGATTGATGTGCAGTGTAAATTTACTGATAGAAATAGACAGATGGCTGTCTCGCAAAGCACTCAGTAGCATATTCCTTGTGAGCTGAGCTGTATCAAGTTATAACAAGTTATGTGTTTCCAGCTAAAAGTCACTGTTGGGACTTACTAGCATAATTACAACTAGTAGCTGATTAAACCAATGAAACATAAATATAGTAATAATTCTGCTTGGAGCTGCTGAATTGCGTAATGTCTATTATAATAAAAATCCTTGCATTTGACATCGCACCTAATCACATCTTCGAGACGTCTCAAAGTGCTTACAAAAGATACTGTAAAATGAATTGACAAGGCGAGTGCTCCAACCACTAAACTACAAGACTCCACAGTAGAATTACAGTTCGTTGCTTTCATTATTCCGGGACCTCACCTCATCGCACGGAGCTATCCTATGGATCATATCCTTTAGATGTCCAATCATTCTTTCATCCCGGAAGTCATAAGGGAATGTTTCTGTCCATTCTGTCAACAACTGTATTATTTTAGGTCCAAATTTTCTAATTCGCACCTAAAGTCCAACAGAAACGGTATCATAGTCAAGACAGGATCATTTTCAAAATGTATCAAACCGTGATAAGAATCCTTGCATTTGATAGGGAGCCTTTCATGTCGGGAGGACGTCTCAAAGCGCTTCACAGAATTAACTGTAAAATGAGTGGACTGTGTATTCTCTCGGCGAACACGGCTGCTAATTTCTAATTTGCACACGGAGGTGTCCTGCCCCTCAAGCAGGCAGGCAGTGAATGAGCAGCTTTTTCCTGGGCGTTATTGGCATTGCGGAGTCGGGCCACAGGATCTCGGAGGTCAACCAGTCAGTACAGGCAAGACTGGAGCTCGATTTAATTTCTCATCCATAGAATAAGAGATCAAAAGGAACTGATCTCCAGTTAATTCTGCTGTGAGTATTGTTACAAATATTATTCACCCGAGGAATGTGACAGCGAAAACCCCGCCAGCGCAGAGCTGCAGTCATAACATTTTTGAGGTGAGGCCTGAATGACAATTTTGGCAAAGTTGCTTTGCGGAGCTTGTGTGTGCTTGTATGGCTGTGGAGTGAAGCTGGGAACAGAAACTTTGTTGGCAGGAGAGGATACAATGATAATTTACATGTATATCTAGAAGCTTAGAGGATGTCACTGCTGACTGGGAACCTGAATGAGTGTGTGTGGGGGGGGGATAAGGTGAGGTGGGGATGGGGGAGAAGCTGGGGAAAGGTGAAAACGGCGTCAAAAAGAGTGCAACAGTTGACAAGATGAGCTTAGCAGTAGAGAGGAAGGATACCAGAGGCAACCCGGGTAAAAATGACTCACAAAAAATGAATTGGCAACTCCTATGGGCCTCAATCAGTGGACGGAGACGAGACTTTAGACAAGTAAATGAAAGTGCAGGCAATCAGGACGTGATCATCGCTGGGGAAAGTAATTAAACATAACTCTGACCTTGTCAAGTACTGGTTCATCGAGACGCTGCTGCTCAATGCACATGTGACATACTTTTGATAGAAGCTCGTGAGGTTCCATGAAGAGTCTTGAACTCAGTAAGAATGTAAATATATAGGCTTTCTGCGTGGAAAAATATACACAGGTAACAAAATAATTGCTATATGAGAGAGAATCAATACAGAATAAACTTGTCGTGTGTTTATTCCTTTGAACAAGTATGCAAAAACATTCCACTGAATCCTACCCAATAATAATTTATTGCCAAAGGACCTACTTGCAATTAAAACGTGGTTTAATGTTTAATTCATTTCAATTTTACTTAACAAAATGAATGGAAGCTAAAAACGGACGGTGTAGATTCTAGTTAGCGGAATGTAAGAACCACATCTTAAGGAGAAACAAACAAAGCAGTCATGTATTGGTAATTAGGACTGAGTGGCAGTCATTGATTTATGGCTAATAATTTGACCTATGTTGATGTGATCCTGAACATAAACACAACTCCACATGTCAAAATGGTTTGTAATCTCGGTTATGCTCACTGATGATTAATCTCATCCATCACGTTTCCCCAATGGTGACTTTTCCACCACAAACAAGAGATCGCCTGTGTCCCCACCTAGACTAACTAGAAGCATCGCAGATCAATGCAAAACCCCGGCTCTCCCAATTATTTTCAAGGTTTTGTGTTCGAGTTGAAAATGTGATACGTTTCTATTCGACTCATTGCAGTTTGGTTCAATATGTTTAAGTGCCTCACATACATCTTTAATTGTAGAACCTAATGAGCATCTGCTACTATTAAATTGCTTCCATCGATGGCACCAGGCTTCACTAAATAAATGTTTAGACTGGCTACTTACTGCATTTCACAATCAAGTTCAACAAGGACGAAGAGTGTAACTAACCGGGCATTTCTCACAGGATTATGGACCCTTCAGATATTTCTAAATTTAAGATATTTTTCTGATGCTCTGGGAAAATATACTATTCTACATTCTTTTTAACACTGCAGCAGGTCAATAAATTTACATCCGTTCATATGTTGATTGAGAAGTGTGGAAATGCTTTGATTTCTTCATCATTTCAAGACAGATAAGTCATTTTCTCTGGGGAAAGTTGGCACAGTTCTCACTTTGATCTCATCTCAAACATGTAGAGTTTGAGAATTCTCTATAAGAAGCAGAACTGACATCTTAATACTACTTAAAGTCACCAAGTACACAAACGTAACTAAGCTCAAACTCTACATTTGGTAATAGTTATAGGAGTCATTTTCTTTGGCGACATTTAAAAATAATAATCTTACAGGTATTCTCTAGCTAGCTCGTGTGGATGCATAAGTAGAGCATCTGGAGACAACGTTATAAGCCAGGCGTCAAGAGACTTACTTCAGGGTAATAATCAACTGTAGGAATGAGATGCTGGATTAAAGCTTCTAAAGATGCGGAGATAAGGTTACCATCCTGAAATAATAGCCCTCCATGGTCGACCTCTTTGGCTGGATGAAGATGATGGCTGAAGCCAGTGGTGTTAAACATATTTGGAGAAGTTAGTGTTTGTGGCATGCCTTCCTGGGAAGAGAACGAGAATTGAGAGAGAACAAGAGAGAGAGAGAGAGAGATCCATAATGCACAATATTGAAGAAAAATTCTGCCTACTGTAGTTACACAACCATCTTCAGGATCATCCCCCACCCACATAAACACACACACACACAACGCAATGTACAATCCTCTCCTTTTTGAAACACAATGATATTTCACATCACTCGAGCAAAAGGGCTGTGGACGCACGCATTTTTATTTGTCGAAAGAGTCATCCCCCCCCCCTCCCTCCCACCCCACTCCCCCGCACTCCCTTCCCCACATTATGTGCATCATTAATCGTCTGGTTTTTCGGCCCCTGACTTCACTTTGAATTACAAAGAACGTCCCAAGTGTCTTGAACAATCTCCATCTTGTTCCTCCCACAGACCATCAACAACGGCACAACTCTTCAAGCGTGAGGGGAATGAGGGGATGGTGCTGATATGCAAGGGGCGCTTTTGTCCCTTTGTTACATTATCTTTATTCACACCAAGGGGCAGTGTCATTCCACATTTTTGTCAAAATATTAAATTCCTGAAATGCTCGTTTGCCGCGGGCATCAAAGCCGCCTTCGAATTCTTTCATCCGTGCCTTAGGATGTTTAGTTATGAAAAGGGCATCGCGAGCTTCACACAGCCTCGACTGTAAGACTCTTTTGGCTTAAAATGTAAGACTGCCCACAATCCTGGGAAGTCATTAAGTGAAAGGAACTTTTATCAAAATTCTGCAGAATTGAAAATTTTACAAATACCATGTCCCTCGTCCGGCCCGCCCCACCATCGCCTTCAGCCACTCTGCCCCCACCCTCAGGAACTCCATCCTGCAGTCCCTCCGCCTCGCCCCCTCCCTTACCTCCTTCAAGGCACATCTCAAGACCCTCCTCTTCAACCATACTTTCAGCCAGCCTCCTACCCCCCTACCCCCCACCTCCCCCCAAACCCCCCCAACCCCCCCAACCCACTCAGTTCGGGTCCAAATCCCTGATTTATGAAGCACAGTGATCAACATACAGACATCGATATATATATATGTGTATTATATATCATATTTATTATTTTTGTGAATTCCCCTGCAAACCCTTTGTTTATGACCGTCCGTCCCCAGTAATATCTGCTGACACTGTAAGTTTGTGGCTATGCTGACTGACCAGGAGATGCGCTTAAATAGTGCAAAAAAGATCCCTTCCTTTCTGTAGTGTAAAATGCACTTCCTCAGCCAAGGGAGTTACAATAGCAATATTGTTCAGTCTGTTTGTTTTTAGTTTCGCCCACACAATCTACAATCGATTCACTTTGCAGTGTATCCCGTGAAGAGCTTTGAGACGTCCCAAAGAGGTGATAAGGCGCTGTATCAAATGCAAGGATTATTATTTTATGATGAACTCACGGACCATATTACTGTAAAGTCATTTTTATTGGGATTTGAGTGAATTCCTCAACCACCTCGCATACCCTCTTAACAAAACAGGAGTAATATTTTCCGGAGCTGAAATGCAATGCAATGCTTTTTTTTAACTGAGACGAATGCTGTACTTTCAGCAATCTGGGTTTATTCTAACTGATAAGGTCATTCAGGGCTTTTCCCTGGTTGTTTGAGCATGGCTGATTTGCTGTCCCATGAGAAATTGAACATCAGTCACAGAGCAAAAAAGCAAGCATCTAATTATCCTGAATACATCACTTGAATTGAAAATAAATATACATCCACGCAAAAACCAAGTGACCACTCCACGATAAAAGGAGCAAGAATCCAACCGGCTTAGAAATTCCGGCCAGTCTTAGCCTACTGAGCCTATTTTGTCTTAAATTTTACAATTGAGCAGGACTGCGGAAAATAATTCTTAAAATCCAGTTTTAATTTGGACGCCGAGTTTCTGCAGTTCTGAAGAAGAAACCCTTTACCAACATCAAGGCTGATTGAAGAATCTTTCACAATTCTGGTCAATCTTAAAAGACAAAATGGTCTTAACACACTAAGCCTGGGGTGGAATTTCAGACCCTACACTTTGAGGAATACGCACTTTGACCACAAATAGGCATTTACTCTAAAACTTAACCCTTTTCAACTATTCCAATTATTTTGAAATATATTCTTATTAACGCAGCTCGCTCTTGAAGCCTGGTGATCACCATTTTGTGAAAGTTAATGTGCGCAGCCGTGACTATCCTGGTAATGAATGAAATTCCCATCTGTATTATTAGTCCATGTGGATGTTCTGTGTTGTGTTACAATTGGGTTAAGTTAGTCAAGTCATGTGTTTTATTCAACTGAAAAATTAAATGGTTATTTTGAGTTTCGTCTCAATTACCTTCTTGGGTGGGAACAAAGAAAGCTGGGTATCTAGTTTTAAATAATTTCGAACGACTGAGCAAATTGTGATAGAAACAGGTGCGATAGGCTAAATGGCCCTTTGGTGTTCCATGTTCTCTTGTGTTGTCCTCTGTCGTTCCCTGCGCAAACTCAGTATCCGTCAGTGATGAAACGACAAGACGGGGATTTCTGACAACACTGCTTGGTAACACTTGTAAGCATTTTGTCGTGTGCCTATTATGGGAAATCCTAATTGTAACACTGAAGGATTGTAATTGGCCTCAGCATCCCTGTACTAAACAGACGCCCGTGTTCCCTTGTCTAAGTGACCATTTTCCAGGTTACGGCAGGATTAGCCCCAGCTCTGATGCTCGCACTCCCCTGTGGTCATAAACCCTCTTAACAATTACTGCCTTGGCTCACACACGTCGAATGTTCACTTAAGCGAGGTAGAGGAGAGTAAACGGACATAATCCTCTAAAGCTATAGCTTCAGGGATACCGTGGGATCTATCTATCATCATGGCCCCAGTTTAATGCACGGCATTCAGCCTGGGATTAAATGATTAATATTGCAGTCCACCTATTGATTGGCTCTCATTTAAAACTCAGAATGCACTTATTTTGTGACTGTCCTAAGCAAAATTAATTTGCCATAATAAACTTGGAATCGTCATTTGAGAAACACAAAGGAAACACCGGCCAAATATTCGTGAAGAAAATTCCCCTCCACCATCTCTGTAAACTGAAACTCTTAAGCACTCTGAGACACCGTCTGGTGTGAAGGCACTATATAAATGCAAGTTGTTGTTGACTTATGTTTTATATCCAGGGTACTTTTCCTTAGAGACCTGACTTTTCTAATTCTTAATAACTTAATGATCCTCATGCGAAGTCCTGTAGGGTGTTGGTTAGAGCACTCTCCTTGCAAGCAAGAGGACCCAGACGAAAGAAAATAGATTTGGTCACACAATTTGTTTGCGACATTGCAATTTTTTGCGTTTCGCCCACAAAATACGCAATCAATCCACTTTACAATATATCCTGTGAAGCAACAGGTGAAAGAAAACCAAGGCTCTTCCAGTTCACCCTCCACCATCCATCCTGGCAGTCACTTGCACATGTCATATCCCAGACTATATGTTGTATCCCGAGATATTATTTCCTATCTGGGATTGCATTTCTTTTAGCTGCAATTCAGCAGTATGATGCTAAATATCCTTCTGTATCAGAACTCTATTCTTCACATTGTGGTATGATTACTGTACATGTCTATCGGAAACCTGAGACTTATTTAATGGGAAATTTCAAAAGGACCATTAGGTTGTTTCAGTCTCAAGTATAGTGTATTTCCTTACATGGTCAACGCTATTTCTCATTGCAGGACTTTCTGAGAAATTACGTGGGAGACATTTCCTAAAACCTGGAGCAATTTAATCTGTTACGCCTTGTTTTAACCAGTTTTCAACTATGTACTGTACAGAAGATGATGGGCAATGTGCCAGGGTCTCCAATGTCACTGTACAGTGATTTTTATGACCATTTGCATTAAAATGTAAGAAATGAATTAGAAACATGCTGACGCAGCATTGGAATCTTGCTGGGAGTCAAACATGAATTACACTTCAGATACAAACTGATTTAGATTGCACATGTGAAGGACGGAAAAAACGGACAATTTTACATCTCAGTAATCTCTCTACCTACTGAGATTGGGAACCACCTGACGGAAATCCTTTCAAAAATAGGAATCCACATTCTAGGTTAACAAAAACCCCTCCACTAATTCTGGATGAAATCATCCAATCATGAAGTTTAATGATAAATAAACAAATAAGTAGGAACATTGACCATTTGATGTCTGGACTCCCTGGGGGGATTAATTAACCACAAGAAGATCATTCAGTGGGTCGTCTGTTTGCTCACTTACTGTGATCTCTGTTAATATAATTCCCCCCCGCATAAATAAATTTTAAAAAATGTGGTCACTCAACCGCCAACTGTTTATGGTACACTGCTGAGCACTTCAAAGAATATACTGTAAAGTGAATTGACTGTGTATTATGTGAGCAAAATGCTTTTGACTGTAGCCTGTAGGCAATCACCCATCCAGGTGCTCATTTGCAGAGTGCTACATAAATGATATTGGATGGGAGGGTTATGAAGGTCACAAAGTCCAGGACTTTCTCAACTAAAGTGCTGAGCTGAGGCCGAACCTTAAATACCATATTATTTTTATTGTATTGACATCCTGGATCCTACAGAGGCAGTCCTCATCTCATATAATGTGCCCAGAACACCATATTCAGCCAGTGCTGGAACAGCGTAAAGCCAGTGACTGGCCCAATATTCTGGGATAATACATAAAAAAGAGTGCTGTAGCTTATGATGATAGCCAATAATCTGATCCTAAAGAAAACACGAGACAACCTGCATAAACATCACCTTCTGCCTCAGCCTGGCTCAGTTGGTGGCCTCTCTTGCCTCTGAGTCAGAAGGTTGTGGGTTCACCACCCCACCTGGGGACGAGCCTGGCATATTCCAGTGCAATCCTGGGGGCTGCTGCATTGACACAGGTGCCGTCCTTCAGATAAGACATTAAACCAAGATCACGTCTGCCTGTTCAGGTGGACATTAAAGATCTTGTGGAACTGCTCGAGAAGCCAAGGGAATTTC